TTGACCTGTCAGTGCTGGTTCCTTTATTGGAATTTTGCATCTTCAGATCCGATCTGGATGCTATCAGTGCCTCGGCTCCGTCACCCGGTGGCATCAGGTTTGAGAGGTTTGAAAAATCGTTTGGGGATGATTCCCTTTTCGGATGCCCCTCGTCTTCGAATGGGGATGAACGATTTCCTCTCGGTGCATCCAACCAAGGCAGCCCAGCTTTTTAAGGAACTGGGCATGCGGGCATCAGAGTCATGTGCAGGCTGTGTGCTCCAAAACATTTCGTGTGATTATATTGATTCTGAGTTGATTGGATTCGATTACAGAAATTTTGTGCACATATATATATATATATATTTGGATGTCCCTCTCTCCCATATTTGGATTGAGCTAAAGTCCTGGAGACTTGAGCCATATTGTAAGATGTGAAATATTTTGCGCGACTTTGTCGCGTGTTTGTTTGACTTTCGACTTCGTCTTCGACTTCAAATCGTAATAATCCTTTCCCAGATGCCATTGGTTTTTGCTACCAGCCCCAATCTTCTCAAGGATTTGTTCGCTTCTGTATATCCTTGCCTGCAGAAAGGGTTCATCGGGAGCTGTGTTTCAAGACCGCAGCGAAATCGTGTGCCAGGCGAGACATTAGGACTTGTCATTCTTGGGGGATTGAGGCAGTTGGACATGAACACAATTTACTAGCAATTTCAGCTCCCAGGAAACAAGGGCTTGAAGGTGTGCTTTGCTGTCATGTTGTGTGCCTGACTTTCATCTGGACCTTAAATGATTTTGATCCACGTGGTGCTGTCAAACATCTCTTCGCAGTGGGTTGTGGCTGAATGAGCTTGGCAACCTTGCATTGATGCGTCGTAAATTTTGACGTTTGTTGCCAGGCTTGAAGCTTGCTACAGAGACCGGCTTTTCAAATCTCAAGCGCCGCTGCAAGAGTTGTAAACAACTTCCCGGCTGACCGGCTGGTCAAAATTTGGTTGCTGGAAACAGGAAATCACAAGTTGCAACTTTGTTGCAGCAGACTGAAGCACTTGTATATTGATTGTAATGTTGCTAGCTGGGCAAGCGTAACAACAGGTGCATTGACAGACACATTTGTTTCCGATTTTCTTGGGTGATCTTGTAGCCATTGTGGCTTTGCGCGCACCACGGCCAGCATGATAAAGTTGAAAACTGAAGGCATATTGCTTTAAAGCTAGGACGAGCTTTTGGTGTTGCATCGTTGAGGAGGCCAAATAATAGCTTCACAACCTGTTCTTCCAGTGCATAAGGCAAGTATATTCAGGGTAAAACGCTCATGCTGGCATGTCTTGTCTCCAGCCAAAGGGTTGATTTAATGGAGGAATCAGTGGGTGATGCCAATCATTCCAGCTGCGTTGCGAGGCAGTTGCACATGAGCTGCGTCGTCCAGGTTATGATTTGGACACACTGCCATGGCATACGAATGCTGCTAAAACCGCAAGCGCGCATTGCAGAAAAAATCGCAATCAACATCTGGATGACATAGGATTTTGACAATGCTCCGTAGCCACACACTTCAATAGGTTTGTTTGGGTGCAACAACAAGTATTTTGATTCGCGTATTGTTCGGCCAATGAATTCTTGCATTGCCAATGCTGTATTGATTGTCCAGTGTGCTTGGATAAAGGTTCCTAGCTTTGGATGGCATGCGGATTGAGCTTAGGAAAGTTTAGGGTTCGTTGATTTGATTTTGTCATTGGTAAATCCCTGTGCAGCATTTATTGCAGTTGTGTCTGTGTGCGTGGCCAGAACCCAGTGCAGATCAAGATGAAGGGGAGGCGCCAATTTCGCAATTCTGCTGCTAGTTATAGATGCGTGTCATTGACACTTTTGTGCCTGCAGGCCACGCCATCTACTGCACGGGAATTGAAGGCATTAGCAGCAGACCCTACCACGAGGCAAGTAGGCAGTGTGACAAAGCGTGTTTTGAGCATAACAGTGGATCGGACTTGTTCAGGAAGGTCGCGTTTCCCCAAAACAAGGCGACTTAGCTTGCAATTGCATTGGGTAAGTTGAACTATACAGCAAAGTTGCTTGTGTCGTGTGGCTTGAAGCAGCGTATGGTGATTGGTTTGGAAGCAGCCTAAGTTGTGTGACAGACTCCAGATTATACACCGGGGGTTTGCGCGCAAAGTGCCCGCGCAAAGCTACAGTTTATTCAGTTTGTTGCCAGCAAGCTGTGTGGTCCGTTTTTGGCTTCCGCGCACCTTTTGTCTAATCAAATGCTTGAAGCACGCTGTCGCCCACAGCATCTGCTCTGGGTGAATGCAGATGTTGGCTCTGTCAAGCATTCTGGATGAAGACGAGTTCAAGCATGTTGTGCACTCATTGTCAAGTGTTCCAAACCGAGTGGACAAGTTGCGCTGCAAGTGTGCGCAATGGTTTTCTGCTCTCGATTCGCTTGATTAATTGCAGCTTATTGGAGTAGTAAACCAAGCATCATGCGCTCCTTCGGCTCCGAACTGAATTGTGCGAGCATGTATTGCCAGAGTAATTCTGTGTGTGGGCATGGGATTTTTTGTAGCCGCGTTGAGACACGATGCAACACCGTCCACTGTGTTCGAAGAGGCCTGAAGGCCTTCATGAATACTTTTGCTGGCTGAGGATTTAGCAAACTTGCCTTTGCTGCCGCCTGCACCTCCAGAGGCATGTTGAACATGCATGTAGATGGCACTCCTGAACTACGGGATGTCCAGGCGGATGACCGAAGCAGTCGTTCCACAAGCAAGCCTTTTGCTTTGGAGACACTGGGTTTTGTAGATTGGCTCAGCGATGTCAGCTCTACGTGTTCTTGCATGGGTCATTTGCCAGGAGGCTGCACCCGCTGATGGGAGTCCAGGGAGCAATAGATCCAGATGCTTGTTTGCAGTCAGGCAGCGAAGTCTCAACAGACCTTTTTCAAAGACTGGATTCCTGCACGAGCATCTGCGACGCTGTCAGAGAATTCAAGAAAGAAGCTTTTCAGGATATTGTTTGTAGTTTTCTTTGCCAGAAGCAGCGTGCAAGGGAGTTGGCATTCGTGAGCCTGCTGTGAAGCTTGTTGAGGCAAACTAGGTCCGTTTTAAGTGATAGCTTTGCATGAGGAGGGGCCAGTAAACCCCTGGAGACACGGCGGCGAACCACAAGCAAGGGCAAGGTGAAGCCTGAGCAGAGAGGTTTTGTGTCCAGAGCACAGAGGGAGAGAGACAGACTATGTTGCACTTTCTCTACACGTGCAGGTGCAAGTTGCTGTGCCGGAGGAGTTGACGACCTTATCGGTGAGCGACTGGGATATCACAGCTGGCACGAAGAAAGTACGTGAGCTGCTTGTTGCCTGGAGGTGCTAGAGGATAGCGATATCGCTGGCCTCCCAGGCTTGGATTCGCTGTCGACCGACCACATGTGCGCACCTACTTATGGTGGCTCAGTTCAAGGGTAGGAATGTGAGGACCCCATGTTGTGATGCTGTGGGACAGGTGTCAGAGAGTCGCATATCCAGGAGGCTCGCCAGCTGCATGGCAGCATCGCCGTTCATTTGAAGCAACAGTGGCTCGGACCGACAGCAAGGTGCTTGCAAGTCTGTTTTGAGGACCGCAGCTTCTCTAACGCAACACAGCGCAAACTTGAGCCTTTGCTTGTTCTTGAAGGCCAAGCAAGCTGCTCAGCTTGTCCCTTGATTCTACATCTTGATTGAGTAGCTCTATAAGCGTACAAAGCCAAGCCAATGAGAAATTGATACCTTCATGTTCGGATGTTTCCATGCACTTCGCTGCGGGGAATAACGTCAGTTGCAAAGCCTTTGGTGAGACCTGAGAAGTATGCCTTTTTGTGCAGTCTACATGTTTACTGTTGAGAGTTTTCTACGGTGGTGGGGCAGCTATAGGGCGAGGCACACGCGGTTGGACCGCACATGCTTTATTTCACACGAATCACCTGCAAGACATTGCTCTGTTTCTTGTGATGCGGTCTTGCTGTTTTCAAACTCCCTGATCTCTTGTTCTGTGCACCAAAGTACAGTGCACGCTGAGCTTGCCAGGCTTTCCATGAGATGGATTTTGATGGGAATGGCTTTGTCGGAGTCAGTGAACTCCGCTACCTCTTGACAGTTATAGGGGAGGCCGTGCCTGATAAATGCTGCAACATTCATGCATCGATAGATCAGAAACGCGGCACAGGAACCCACTGACAATGAGTTGGATGAAATGCTCCTCGTCCGCTTCAAAGTCTTTCAGGGAGGTGATCTCACATAGCATCGCTTCAACTACATGAAGCAGGCGGATATATGTCATGCTGTATTTCCATTTAGTTCTGCACAGGGAAGGCGGCAGGGTGGTCACCTCGTCTTGCATTCAGACGCGGTAGCGCATCGTTCGAAGCTTCGAACACGAAAGAGAAGGTGTTTCTTCACCAGCTGAGTCTACTTCCTCGCCTACCCATCATCCACGGTGAGGCTTCTATGGATACCCAGAAATTGCTTTGAAGGTCCTTGCCCGTAAAGCTACATACGTACAAAACAGGCTCCAATTTGAAGAAGCATCGCTTTTCATGTCCCACGCCAAAGCGCCTGGTTTCTATTAGTTCTCCAAAAAAACTACCAAGTAGAGGAGTCTGGTGGGGTGCTGGTCGGCGTGCCTTCCGTTGGCACCAGGAGTCCTCTGTAGCGCCTGGTTACAAGCAACCTAGGTGCCCATACAAGTTTCAGCTCATGTGGGGTTTGTCCTAAATTACTGTCAATACGGGGTCCCATATTTAGGTTCCTATTGTAATACGGGGCCCTATATAAATTTCCCCCATTTTGGGAACAGTAATTTAGGGAAACTTCCATGTGAGCCCATGGCACCCAAGCATTGCCGGTGCACGTATAAATCATGACAACAACTTGTCACGAGCCTGTAGTGTCTATCTCCTGTGACTTTTCCTCTATTTCTCTGGAAATCAAGCAGACAGGAATAGCCAAAGGGCTGGGTATGGTGAACTGGAAAGTTCCTCGCATCAGGCTTGCAATGCTCGGTGGAGAAGGAGATGGACAGGTTGCCTACGAGGCCCATATAGTCGGATACATTGCCGCTCAGCAAGCTGCGACATTGCAGGATTTTCGAACCTTATTTGCGCCCAAGAGTGCAGTGCTGGCAGAGATGCTGACAATGGCACCTCAGGAAGCAGAAGAGGCCAGGCTGTTGCAGAACTCGACAGCTCAAGACTGTCTTGACCAGCTTTGTTGAGCTTACGGGAAACATCCAAGCTCGAACTTTTGGATCATCCGACCTTTGCTCTAGATTAAAGTCCGACCGCACAACTTTGGTACCTGCTTTGCTCAACAAGCCAAGAACTGCGGCACAACACACGCTTGCCCTTTTAAGGAGGTCATGAAACATGGATCTAAGGATGAAACTTCACCTTAATGAATTCTCTACATGCTGGTGCAGGAAGCCAAAGATGGCACAGCAGAAGCAGAAGGAGATGAGTCCCGACCCTTGCCCATATCAGCATTCATTGACATGTCATTCAGTTGCTGTTTCAGGCCAGATGAGATTCCAAGGTAGCCAGACTGTAGCTTGTCGCCGCCGTTCAAGAACAATCCCATGTGACGGCAGGTTGGAGGCTCCGGCACAACAGCTAGGCTTGCTGGTGAAGGCCTGTCAAGCATCCCAATTCTTGTGGTGGTTTTTGCACTTGATCAGGGAGCGGCGAGCTTCATGCAAGCCAGGATCAAGAAGGAGCCAATGCAGTTGCTTATCGGGTTGTTGACCTGTGAGATCCTGTGAGGTTTGCCAGCTTGTTGCGAGTGCTAGTCCTGGGAGGAATTGAGGGGAATTCGTGACTTGTGAGTTCGTTAATTGTTGCTCTTCCGGTGCTGCTGCTGGCGGCGGCGGCGGCGGCGGCGGCGGCGGTGGTGGTGGTGGGTGGCAGCGGTGGCAGTCGCAGCGGCAGCAGCAGCGGGGTGGCGGGGAGGGCGGTGGCTGTGGCCAAGTTGGCAGGGGCGGCGGCAGCGGCTGGTGCAGTGGTAAGGGGGGGGTGAAGGTGGTGGTGAGTGGTGGTGGTGGTGAGTGGTGGTGGTGGTGAGTGGTGGTGGTGAGTGGTGGTGGTGGTGGCGCTGGCGCTGGGCGCTGGTGCTGCTGGTGGTCCTGGTGGTCGGTTTCAGCGGTGCCAGCAGAGATAGTAGCAGTCGCATTTAAAGGAGCAGCAGGAGTAGCAGTCCAGCCCGCTCCTCTATATACTGCTTTGCTGCACATCTCAAACAAACCCAAACTGTATAGGCCCGAAATATCGCCTAACACCAGACCCCAACAGACCCCAAACCGTAAAGCTAAGCCTAAGACACTCTGCCCTAAACAGCCTCAACACTTGTAATCTTAAGCCCTGAACCAACCAATGCAGAAAGCCTAAACAACCCCAGGCCCTGAACCTGAACAACCCTACGCGTGCTAAACAATCCTAGGCCCCAAACAAACCCAAACCCTGAACCCGAAACAGGCCTGACCCGTAAGCTCACTGAGGAGGAGACTGTTTTGCAGGCCCCCAAAGTTTTTTGGCTACACATGCTAAAGTGTCCTAGGTTCGTGCTACTTTTAGTACTCGTGATTTGTTCTAATCTGAAAGGTGCAAGTCAGAAATATTATTACTATTGTGTGATTCATATTGTATCAATATACCTGCAAGTATCATTCCTGCTTCATGAGCCAACTATTGCAATTTTGGCTGTCAATTTAGAGTTCAGAAGGCAGTGCAGTGTTACTGTTATCCTTTATGCACAAGTATTTTTCCTTGTGGACTCTACAATAGAGAGATGCCCTGAAATCTTATTGTTAGTCTGCTGATTGTGATCCTACTTTCATGAGGAAACAAGCAAATCAGTATTACTACCAGCACTTGGTAAAGTTGTATTACAGCCACTTCTGCTACACGCAACAGGCAGTTGCATGTTCTTCTTGATGATTCCTATTGCCGCGGAATAAGCATTTCACTGTTGCTATTACTAGGGAATTGTTTCTTTCCATGGCTCACATAATACTTACACTAGAAATAGGGTTTTTGCTTTTACTGGCAACTCCTAAGCTAGTTTCACTGCAGCTACTAAATACTATCATTGGGCAAGGGGCAACCATTATGTTGAACTTGTATGAGGGAAAAAAGCAGCGACAAGGAAGTGGGAAGTGGAGATCTCACTTCCAAGAAGTCAGTTGGGCTTCTCTATTCTTACCGCGGAGACAGATGAGATTGCTTCCAATTATATATATACATATATATTTTTGTTTTTTTGGTATGCTTCTTGAAGAAGAGAGCAAACATTTCTGTTGACTTGGGCGGGCCTAGTTCCGTGATAGTCTTTTGGTCGTTGGTTAGTAATGCAACTACGTCGGCTACTGGCTATTGTTGTTTTTTCGAATTGATTCGAAAAGCAATCCTGGCTCTCAGAACGAGACACTGGCGGAATGGACCTTATCAAATGACTTTGGAGTAAAGCTCCTGTCTCAGGATCATCAGGAGACAACGTGAGGAAGGATTACGAGTGATGTCCTTTTACAGTCATGAGGCGTGAGGCATGTATGCTTGTTGTGGCAAGGAAAGGACGATGTTGCAGAACGCAATGGGAGCGTGGAAATCAACAATTCAGCATACACACTAGCGCCTGTTCTGGAACAAGGGCTTGGTTCAAAAACGGGATCACGGGACTTCGTGGCCAAAAAGTCGCAAAAACCAGCCTCGTCACCGGAAAATCAAAAAGCAGAAATGAAGAACCAACAAAGACAACAATCAAGACCAGCAAAAACAGCAACGCTTGATTGACTCAAAGGACAAAACATCCAGAGACCATATCTCTGGGACTGAGGGCCTGATATTTTGCCTTTGTTTCTGTCATTGGTTCTCCTCGACTTTGGGGACATAATTTTGGTGTGTATGGGCATTTGTTTTTTGTTTTCCCTGGATCGTCTTGGTCCTACTCTTGCATTATCCTGAGGTAAGGCCCCTCCTCAGTAACAGTTCAAAGTTCCTCCAGAGACTAAACACACAAGCCGAAATTAGCACCAGGAAGCCTGATCAGATTTGGGAGGATCCAGGCCAGGTGTAAGATGATCCGACTTGGGAGGATCCATAGCCAGGTCTGCGGCCACATGATCGGACTTGGGAGGATCGGGCCAGATGTGAGGCCACCATGATCAGACTTGGGAAAGCCCAGAGGAAAAGCGCCAGGAGCACCAGGAAAAAATGCTAGGAAAGCGCCAGGACCACCAGAAAAAGTATTAGGAAAAGCGCCAGGGAAAGCGCCAGGAAAAGCACCAGGAAAAGCACCAGGAAAAGCACCAGGAGGAGCACGAGGAGGAGCACCAGGAGCCCCAAGAAGAGCACCAGGAAGAGCACCAGGAAGAGCACCAGGATGCACCAGAAAAGCACCGCAAAAGACAGCTCGACTGAAGGCAAGAGTGCTGCAAGTCAGCGACTGGGAATCGAAACTACGAGCACGAAGCACAAAAAAAAACACAAACTAGTAAACACGTCAGACAAAAAACAACAGAAAAGCACACAAAAGCACAGACTAGTAAACACGAGCACCAACCGGAGCAGCAGAAAAAACACCAGAAAAACACACAAAAACACACAAACTAGTAAACACGAGCATCAGAAAAAGCATCGCGAAAAAATGCGATTCGAGCTTGATGGTGTCTACGCTTGACGAATATTTGACGCTAAGGAAAACAAGAAGCACCAGGCCTCCTGGGGCCTCGTGGGGACCTCTCGAAGCCTCTGAAGCCCCTGGCGCCTGTTGGGGCCTCTTGCAGCCTCCAGCACATCTTGGGGCTTTTTGGGGGCCTTTTGGGGGCCTCTTGGGGCATCTTTGGCGCTTGGGCTTTTCAGGGCCTCTTAGGGCGTCTTGGGGCCTCTTAGAACACCTTGGACCTCTTAGTTTAGGGTGTACGTCAGTGTTGATGGGTAGCTTCTTGGGCAGAAGTTTGTTCATACTTCGGCAACAGAAGGACCCCCAGACATCAAAGTATGGTCACATTGATTCTCAAGATCTGCAGTTGTGCTGGTGCTTTTTCTGGTGCCCCTGTTTGTGCCCACTGTTACTGGGCCGGGGCCGCAGCTAACATTATCCCCGCAAATCCTATGTTTTTATTTCGTTTTCAAGAAAGATTGTAGCAAAGCTTACACCATGCTTTAAAGGTTTCCCCTACCAGTACTACAATGTTGTACAACAACAGTATTCTCTGAAAACTGACCCCCAAAATGATGTTGATGCATTCTGTTGCTCATGTATGCGCAAATTAATAATTACCCTCGCTGCGCAGCAGTGACAGCAGCAGCAGCAGCAGCAGCAGCAGCAGCGGCGATCATAACAACAGCAGTGCCAGTAGAGGTGTTCCCAACCTGTTTTGTTGTGGCGCAGCAAATCAGAGAACGAGGCGAAGGTATGATAGGTATGTGCCGCTGCCCCACACATCCAGGCAGAGTTTTTTCATCTTTCCGTTCATGAGTGCTTTTGTCAACCGGCAAGGAAGATGCTGGCAAAAAGAAGGCATCACGCGCCAGACCGAAGGTCCTTGCCTAGAGGATTTCCTGCGACGTGAGGTATGATGCGGTATGTTGTGAAAGTTCCTGAAAGGCCAAGGCTCCTGGCTCCAACCGGGCACGACCCGTGTTGGGACCGCCAAGACAACTATTGCAGGCCTGCCATTTGTTTGTCATGCACTTGGCTTTGCTTGGCAACTTGGATCCACCTTCTGGCAGATGACAGCTCCTTCAGCCATGGGGCCATCAAATCCAGGCTGATTCGATTACTGGTTGCATCAAAGACCAGCAAAGTGTTGATCGGGAGGCACGTTCAGAGTGAGTTCGCAACCGCCGCCCGTCCCTGGGCACATGTCAAGCATGCCGCCACTGCCTCCAGGCCTTTCTTTCCGCTTGTCTTCATAGGAGCATGTGGTTGCAGTACTGTTGCTTGGTAGGCTACATGGTTGGCACAGAGAAGATGTTCCAACACCAACAAGGTCGGCCCGGCTTGGCCACAGTACAGTTGAGTCTCAGTCTGAGAGTCAGGTCTTGGACAGGGAGCCCAGGGAGCCATGGGAACTGCCGGAGCTGGAGCCATGGGCATGATGGGGGCACCAGGGGCGCCCATGGGAGCCAACGGTCTCCCTGGGATGCCGAACGCAGGACAGCACTCGTGATGAAGCGTGCATGCAATGCTTGCAGATTGGTCGAGTTGGCACACGCGCATGTTGCAGCTGCCAGGCGGACACGCTGCCGGTCCAGCTGCAGGCCAGCAAGGCAGCCGGCTGCAAGATGTCAACAGTCATCTTCATGTGAACGGCCGTAGGACAGCCAGCTGCTACGGTGGATCCACTCTTGCAAAGCAGTTCGGACCTTTGAGAACACATGCCAGAAGTCGTCCTTGTGCATCACGACAGTAGATGCTGCTGATGATGATGGGCCATGCATTGGGAAACGTGCGAGCACGGTTGGATTTTCCCTGCTGCGACAAGAAAACACAGGGTGCTTCGCGCACAAGCTTGTTGCATCACAATGCATTCAAGTCTTCTGAACCATGCTCCTGGCTGCATGAGCCAACAATTTACAGAAACACACAACGAATTGCTGGAGAAACTATTCTCAAAGGTGCGTTGCTCTCATCAGAACCATGGAACTGGCTGGACAATTTGTTAAACGTGTCATCAAAGGTGGTTGTGCAGCAGGTTGAGGCTGTAGTTGACCAGGCAGACAAGCGCTAGTGTTCCACGAGGTGCAAAGAATTTCTCTGCAAATGCGCCGCCGAAGCATTTAACCTTCCTGGAGTATCAGGACTTGCAGCTCATGCTCACATATTGGTCTAGAAAGCTGCATGCCAATAAGCACCTGTGACAACAGGAGATGAAGCTGGAGCATGAAGTTTGAGCCTTAGCCAATCTTGCCCAGCCGGAACGTGAGTTCCGCTTGGTCAAGCTCAGCCAATCATCGTCAAAATAGCTTGTTGCAGAGGCATTTGTACCCCATCAAGACTGCTCAGGTCCAGCAAAAGCTTCAACAAGAAGCAGAATCTGACAGCGATTAGAGCTGCAAGGTGTCTCACCCGTTTCTGTTCGTTTTGGGCAGAAATCATGCTTTTACCATGAGAAACAGTGCCACGTGCAGCAGTTGGCAACTTTCCATGTGTGCTGTGCCTGCTGCGATGAAGCATGGTTCTCTTCCCGCTGCGTTTATCAACCAATGACTGATGTAGACGCCCTTTTCGATTGGCCTTTCAGGCCTTGATCTGTGAGTTTGCGAAGTTATCCAATGCGAGGAAAGGAATGTGGAGACTAATGCTTCTTGTGGCCACACTGCAGGTTTGTTCCACCTTCTTCTTCCCATGGCGACAGAGGACTCCTCGCAGCAATGAAGTCAATGTGCAGCATCCCCCGCCTTGTAATGTGCTGCCAGCATCCGGTCTAAAGCTGAGCTGCCGAGGTTGGAAGCATTGTAAAATGTTGTTAATGTTTGGCAATGGTCCCAGGGAAAAAGCAGTCGAAAGGACCACACCGATGAAATGCCAATGTTTCAATTGAAGCCCGCTGCAAAAACATAGACTTGTCCCACAGGGACTCTGACGCAGGCTTTTCTGAAACACAGGTTTTCTTAGTAGAAGGCAATGACATAAACTCCCCAGATGTTCTCTGACGCCCCAATGGCCAACATACAACAAAAAACTGAGCGTAAACTTGATCACTTTCCACAATTTGAAGCAAAGCGAAATCAGGAGCCGCGGGACGAAGACGAGGATGTTGAAGGCGATCAAGCTGCCGCTGGCCTTAGACTTCACCTGCAGTTGCAAGCTCCTTTCAAAGCTTTCCTGTAAGGACGGGACCTTGGATCCAGACTTGTTGGCTGCATGTATGAGGCAACCTGTCTGTGTAAAATGATCACGATTTGCGCTTAGCGTTGGACCGGACGATGTGATGATGCCTCCAAGCACCATCTCAAAAAGACAGCTGGTATCTGCATCGTGTCTTTGTTGTTTCATTTGCCAGCCATACTGATACTTGCCAACAGATCCAAGAGCCGGTGGCCTAAAGTTGTCACATGGCGCAACTCCAGATTGGCCGACAAGCAATGGTCGTGTCTCTACATTTTTCGGCTTTTCTTTGGCAGCAGGAATGACACTGAAGCTGCTAAGCGACTCATTGAGCAGGCCTTCTGCTCTTGAAAGTTATTCTGGCTTTTACCATTTCCTTGAATCAATTTCGGCGGTGCCAGGGGGCGAACCCTTGCTGTGAAGATCAGCGACAGTGCATGGATGGCATTAAATAGTTTGCGTGGAGTTGCTGAAGCCCTGACGTTGGTGTTTGACAAGGTGGAGCCCTCTAATCTGGGCCGCCTCACATGGCAACGAGGCAGATTTCTTCCGCTCAAGTGGTGGATGCTTGTTCAGACGGAGGATGGCGTGAGTGTTGTCTATTTTGCAGGACCTGACACGGCTCCTGATCAAGCACAATGCTGCAGAGGCGACTTGGAAATCCGTGGCGACAGTGTGGCGATGTGTCTGGACTTGCGAAATCCAAGATGCTTTGAAGGTCTATAAGTTGGACGAGACCACCAAGGCTGGCATGGGCCAGTTGGTCGGCATGCTGGAAAAATCAACATACTAGACAGGTCCGGAAAAAGCACAGCCCGCTTCATTGGGCCGCCTTCAAGGGCCATCTCAAGGTCACAGGGACTGTGTGCCATGTGTTGTCTGTGCGGCAGCTAGTGGTAATTACATGTGTTGTGGAATCTCGTCGCCTGATGCAGCCAAGTTGCAGCATGTTGCATTGCATCAAGATACTCACGCTGGTGTTCAGAACAGAAGCCTGGTCTCAGTGGATACAGAATTCAACCAAGATTTCCTTCTCGAACCTGAACTGACGAGTTCTTACTTGGAGAATTTCTTCAAAGTTCATGCACGGACCACTAGCAAGCTATGCCAAGCCATGAGCACAGTGCATCCTTCGTGGACCACTACGAGGCCAAAAAGTAGTGCTCTCACGGTCTTTTGTCTGCTCCGTCTGCTCTGCCTGCTACCGCTTTGCTTCCAGCTTTGTCAGGTCCTGGGATGCAAGCCTGAGTCATCGGCGTCAGAGCTCAAAAGGGTGCCCCAGCCAGAAGTTGCAAGAGAGTAAAAACTTAAAACTAATTAGCATTCTTTCGCCAGGCTTATCATGAGAAACTTCGTGAGTTCCATCCCGACAAGCGGCCTGAGAGCCGGGGCGATACGGGCAGTCGGGACACGGACTCAGAAAGCCGTCGCAGTTTCTTGTAGGCTCGCAGCTCGCAGATAGTGTGGGTGAGGTCACGCAGGCAGTGCTGGATGCCTGGACGATCCTCCAGGTGCGATCGGCCAAAGGGATGCGCTCTGCTCAGACCAGCATCATGCCAGGATCCAGAAAAGAGAAAATCTTACGATATCCTTTGGTCGAAGATGAGGAGACTGCCTGATATCTTTGGAAATTTCACATCAGTTTCTCTGCAATGCTGATGTTTCCAATCTCTTGCCGTGCCGCTCTTGGATGCATACCTTCAACATCCTTTACTGAGAATGGGAACAGGTGCAAACCATGCCAAGCCTGTACTAGTTGCGCATTGATGTCAACAGCCGAGTTCCCGCATCCTGATGATCATTCACGGACCTGCACTCTAGATTCTTGAAAGAAGTGCCAGACCACAAAGCTTCCGCCAATATTTGGGGCACAAGAACAAGGCAGCGATTGTTTTAGCTTGGGGTGTTTGCGCACTTGCAAAATCTTGCAGCTGGTACAAGAATCTGTTTCACAGACAGGGCAGCAGGTGCAACTTTGTGCAACGTTGTGCAACCACGAACTTGCAGTCGAACACCGCCACATCAGAACAAGGCACTCTGGCTACGCGCATTTCCTTGTCGCCCGTGCACAGGGTGTGCCAGTTTGTTTTTGTGCCTTGCGCGATAGAAAAAAACAGATGCAAGATCTAAGTAGAAGTCCGTTGAAAAGCTTCTGGCAGCATGACAAAAGTCCGTGTCATAATACTTGTAGCTGTTGTTGCTGTTCAGGGAAGGATTATGGTAATGACTACGTGGTACAAGGATGCATCATGTGCGCGTGACTTTATGTATCCCATGCTAGAGACCACCGGGTTTATTTTTAGAAAGGTTGTGGCTATATTGATTCCACTCTGCTGCGTTCCTGGGTCAGGTCGTAATGATAACCACAGCATGCCACTATGTCAGAAGTATCCCAAAACCGCATAGAAATTCATGCCTCGCCTGTTCAGGAGGCTGTGGAGGGTGTCTCCCCCAGAGGAAAATCAAACAACAACCCAACAACAATTAACAATCAACAAAGAACACAAGACTTGCCTGAAATATGCAATTTCGTGCCCTGCCTGCCTGCGAGGCTGCTGAGGGGTACCCCCCGCAGCAAAAGCAGACAAACAAACAAATCCAACACAAACAAAACTCGCCTGAAGCATTCTTGAAATTCCTACAGAATTTGCTGCCCCGCCTGCCTGGGGGCAGAGGGGGTCTCCCCCGAAGGAAACTCAAGCAAAATTCAAAACATCACAACTCGCCTGAAGCTTTCTCAAAATAGGTGTTACTGGGGAAGAATGAGCTTGTTACACTGCACAAACAAAGCTGATGAATCCTCAGCTGTGGGAGCCTCAGATCAATTTTTCCTCGTAGGCTGATCCCACATAGACGGGCAATGGCAAGCTGGGAGGATTTCATAGCCAGTGCAGAGCAGTCGCCACCGGATACTGCTGTTCGCGACAGGGTGGTGCAAGCCTTCAAGAATGTGCTGAAAGCCGCTACGCCTTGGGATGCCGAGGGGCTCACTGAGGATAGCGTGACAGCAGCCATTACTGACTCACCACCAGCTCTTGCCCTTGCCCGTCGGACTCTTCGTAATGTGGAGGCAGCAGCCAAGGCTAGACGAGTCCAAGTGGCACAAAGCATGACGTTGGCCGGGGCAGCAGGGGTTGCCGCTAGTGCAAAAGCGCTGGCTGCTGCCATGTCTCCAATGAAGTCGACAGATGCGCAGGACCTGCTGGCCAAAGCAAACCTTCAGGGATTGCAGTATCATTTGCAGCCCGACCAGGGATTGTTTGATGTGCTGCAAGCACACACAGATGAGGCACGAAAAAATGGCAAAACGCCATTCTTATTCGTGGATTTGACGGCAAAAGATACCCTTCCACTGTGGGTGCCGAGTGACAGTGTCGGCGGAAAGTTCTCATTGCGAGATGAGGAGGAGTTCAGTCTGGCAAGCACGTCTCCAATTGGGAGCTTGGGAGATCTTACCAGAGCTCTCAAGGGCGCCACTGCTACTCCTCGCTTCTTCCGGTCAGTGTCCCAGTGGACAGCCGCCTTCTGGCGATGGGCTGTAGCAGCTGTGGCTGCTCAACACATCACCATGCCGCAAGTCATCGCTCATCAAGACGTAGTGTTACAAGTCTGTGAGCAAGAGAGGTTGCGATCCCGCCCTCCGTATGCAGGATTTCTGTACGACGAGATGGCGCGGAAACAGTGGGCGCGTCGGGCTGACAAGAAGGACCCGTCCTTTAACCTGGATGCCGAAACTCAAAAGCTCGATAAGGATCTCAGGGAGCTTGTCACACAGCGTCTTGGTGCGGTCATGAGAATCACAGAGGTCGAAGGTAGTGTGCCAAGCAGTGCGGGGTCAACGATTGATGAAAGACTTTCGCAACAACTTGCCGCAGCGGAAGCTGCCCAAAAGAAGGCTGAGGCAGTCAAAAAAAGGCTTGACAGCAGCCCAGAAGAACATCATCGACAAGGCTGTTGTAGCTTCATCGGCAGATGGTGTTCCCAAGATTGGGGCACCGGAGGAGGAAAAACAGATGACAGGCAAGCAGTTGAAAGCGCATAAGTGGTTTTTGAAGCAGAAGGAGCGCAGACAGCAGCAACAGATCAAAAAGAAACACTTCTGAACAGGAGACACTGGTGCATGTGTGCATCCTGGTGCCGCGAACATGCCTTTTTCCTTGTTGCATTTGCCGCGAGTGCCATTGGACCATATCACGGGTGCCAGTGAATCTGGAGAGTTCTTCTTAGAAATTTTTGCTGGTGACTGCATTCTGACATTAGCCATGACCCTCACTCACGTTGGCGTATATTTGCCATGGGATTCGCGGTTTGGGCAAGAGTTTGATGTCGCAACTCATGGAGAAGCCATCTTGAGGTTGGCCAGAGCTGGCGCGTTGTCCTGGGTGCATTTGGGAACACCTTGCCAAAGCATGACGTGGGCAAGATGCCCTCAACTCAGAACTACGGCGTGTCCACTTGGTCGTGGTGACTTGTCTAGACGTCAAGCCTGGCTAGTTGCCGAAGGCAACACGCTGGCCACTTTTTCACTGAATCTATGCTGCTGCCAAGCTAAAAATGGAGGATTTTTCTCTATAGAGAATCCTGAGTATTCCTGGCTTTGGGTCCTGCCGCAAATGATTGAACTCCGACGTAAGGAAGGGGTTGGAGCAGTCAGGCTGCTGTTTTCTGATTACCATGTCCCTTTCCACAAGCCCACGGTGTTCATACACAACTCCCCTTTTCTGCGCATGTTGGCAGAAGGAGTTTTGCCTTGGCGGGGGCCTAAAGTGAAGCTCAGAGGCCTAGTCATGTTTCAAGGGAGACTCACTTTTCGAACGCATCTGGCCCAGACGTACCCACCATTGCTGGGTGTTAACTTTGCGGCGTTGGTCCAGCAAACTGTGTTGTGGGCTCAGCTCGGCGGCGATTGGCGTGACGTTTCGGAGACAATCCGTGCCAAATCATATCAATTTCCGAAAGCCATATTGCAGGCTGAGTCGGAAATTGTGGCAAATTGTTCCATGGACTGGAAATTTGTGCCACACGGAATGGGTGCTGAAAGAGGCCTGAGTCCCCTGGAGCGCGTCGCGTTCGCCATGGAGGTTGCACATCCAAGTGACCCTTGCAAAGACTTGCCCCCGCTCCAGCAGGAGGCTATTGATTTTGAGTGCAAACATGATGTGGCTGAAATTGACTCCTTTCGGTGCTCACTTCTTGAGAAATGTCTGCGACTGCATGCCGGTTTGCGACATGAGCACCAAACATGGGCGCAAGATGCGCCAAGGGAGTTGCAGGAGCATGCGATCGCAATCCATGGCCCATTATGGAAGGTGCTGCTGCAGGAGTGCGGACTACCTCGTGAGCAGTTTCTGCATGACTTGCAGTTTGGGTTTCCGTTGGTAGGAAACTTGCCGCCTTGTGAGGGTGACCGCGTGGAACAATCTTTCCAAGTGGCCCTCACCACACAAGAACTTGCAGCTTCGCGTCAGACCATTAATCAGACTGTTTTGAACGCTGTGTCTGATCTGCCTTTTTCTGATGAGATCTTGCCTCAGACCATTGATGATGCAGATCGTGGTTTCATGTCCTTCCCAAGAGCCTTTGTTCCCGAAGATGTGCAGCATCTGTCCCTCACCAGGAGAATTCCTGTCAGGGAGGAACGCTCTAAGGGTTGGCGTACAAGAATTGTTGACCACGAGACTGAAAGTATGGTCAATGCTGCTACCGTTCCTTGTGACAAAATTCGTCATGATACTTTAGATGATCTTGCCCACATGACGCTGGCATATTTCCGGCAGGACTGCCAAGCTCAGCTGTGGAAGCGTGACATTTCCAAAGCTTTCAGGCGGGTGCCCATTCGGGCGGATCACCTGGTCTTTGCTTGGACTGTCTGGCTTCATAAGGGCTGCTTAATGGTGGCTCAGCACAAAGGCATGCCTTTCGGCACAGTATCGGCCGTGTACGCATGGCGCCGTGTCGGCTTCATGCTGTGTTGCATCCTGCGTGCCCTGTTCCTTTGCCCTGCAGCCCGTTACGTTGATGACTTCTTTGGTGCATCCCGCTTGGGCATTCACTGGCATGCAGGTCGTGTTCTAACCGTCATTTCCAAGCTCTTGGGGTTTCCAGTCGATGACGACAAATCCGCTGAGAGTGATATTCGCTTGATTGTGCTGGGTGCGGAGTGCCGCATCGATTGGCCTCGGCGTAAATTGAGCACACGTGTTGATCCAGCAAAAGCAGCTAAATATTGCGCTCAGCTTCTTGGCGTTGTTCGGTCTGGACTCCTGTCCCCAGGTGATGCTTCCAAATTAGCAGGTCGTCTGTCTTTTTCAGTGACAGTGTCGGGCAACAGGGTGGGCAGGGCATTCATCAAACCATTTCATGCTCAGGCGCATAGGCCATTGTTCGGCAATGCCATATCTCCTTTGCTCCGTCAGGCTTGCAATTGGTTTCTGCAGTACCTTGAGCGCTGCCCCACCTCCGTGCGTTCACTCACCCCCTTGATGCGTCCCAGGGCCACTTCGTGGACGGATGCGTCGGGTGAGTCACGATGGGTGGCTGCAGTGCTGTACTGGCAAGGAACCTTTTACTGGACGCGAACGCGTACACCAGATCACGTTTGGCGCAT